CTCAATGTAATGGGAGTCCAGCCGGCATTTGGATATTATTGCAGTAATAAATAATCTCCTTCTTGGTAGACCTGGAGTGGGCACATCACTCCCTGAAATCTGGAAGAGCCCACAGCTGGGCAACGCCAGCCAACCCAGCGGGAGAAGCGTCACAGCCTGCGCTAGCAACCGTAAGCAAAGAGTGTTCGTTGTGGGAGGCTCCGTGCCACACGGAAGGGAGACGTGTGCGTGCCGCCACGACCCAGAGGACCGCCAAGCATGTGGTCTCCCTGGCGCCACGATTAAAGATATCGCCAACGAGTTCACACAACTCATGCAACCCCCTGACACTGCCAAACACCCCTCCCTCCTCTTCCACGTGGGAGCCGACGACACCGCCAGGAGACGCTTCGCTGAAACAGCATCAGCCCTCGAAGCTCCGAGGGGGAAATCAAAAGCACCGGGGCCCAGAGCGTCTCCTCCTCAGCCCTCCCGGTATGTGGAGGAGGAACCGCCGGCCAACGGAAAATCCTGCGGGTGAATGCCTGGCCACGATGGGGGTGCCGTGGAGGGAGACGTGCGCGCCAGGACCCCAGCTGGGCTTCCTGGAGGAGGGGCTCCCGGCAGAGGAGGGGCTGCGCCCCACACAGAACGGGGGGCCGATGCTTGGCCACCACGTGGGAAAGCCCCTCAGCCGAGCTGGACGTAAAGGCTGTCGGGAGGGGGAGCCGTACAGCAGCACATGCCACCCCCTGGCACGGACTCACACGCTCCGGCAGAGGAAAAACCCCAAGCGGGGCCCAGCACCAGCCCCCCAGAAGGGCAGGAAGAACACCAGGGCACCGCGAGGAGGAACGCCAGCGCCTCGACACCTGTGCCCAGAGAATGGGAATCAAGCAGCACGAGCCGGAGCTCATCCTGCACGGGGGCAAATACAGCCTTACGGGAAGGAGGGAAACTTGGTGGGATGACTCACATGACTGGAATTCTACACTTGATGGATACAAACTGCTCAAGAAAAATAGAAAGGACAAAAAAGGAGGTGGAGACACACTGTATGCAAGAGCAGAAATACAAGACAGAGAACTTAGCAGCCCCGCTGAAAGCATCTGGCTTGGCTTAAAGGGAGTGAAGTGCTGCAGGGACGGCACCCGGAGGGCTGAAGCAGGGCATGAGCTGAGACTAGCGAGGGACGGTGACAACAAGACAGACTTCTTCAAAGATGTCCAGAACAAGCACATCTGAAAGAGAAAGGCGTCCGGCTACTGAAAGTGGGTGGCAAAATGATCGCAGGTGCCAAGGAGAAGGCGGAGGCGCTCGATTCCTGCCTCGCCCCAGTCTTCTCCCACAAAACATCTACCATGAGGAGGAAGCACAAGCTGAATGGGAGGGACGGCAGCCCCAGAGCGACACCTGGCCAGGGAATACCTAGGTGGAATGAGCACGGCCAAACCGCCAGGGCCCGATGGGCTCCATCCCAGCAGCACAGAAGAGCGAGCAGAGGAGCTCTCGGAGCCACTGGCTCTTGCCTTCGATCGATCCTGGAACACTGGAGAGGTGCCAGACGACCGGGGAAGGGCTAACATTGTCCCTATCTTCAAAAAGGGGGAAAAGATGAACCTGGGAGTAGCGCTGCCGAGGGGGAGCGACTGTCAGAGCAACACGGCAGTGCAACCAGCTGCCCAGAGAGGTGGGGGGGCCTTCCCGCCCTGGAGACATTCAAGGAGAACCTGGACAGCCCCCCGAGTGGGATGGTGTGGCTTGGTGTCCTGCAGCAGCAGGGGGTTGGACCCGAGGGCCTTCTGGCCCCTTCCAGCTCTGCCATTCTAGGATTGTGTGAAGGGGAGCAAAGCTGAATCCTGGTGTGAGGAAGAGTAAGAACGGCACTGCGACGGGCCAGGGAACAAGACTCCCAAGTCACATGCCTTCCCTGCAGCGCCTCCAATGCACAGAAATCTCCCCCTCTTGCTCGCTCTTTTCACACGCACACGGTCGCTCCCCCTCGGCAGCGCTGCTCCCCGGCTGCCGCACCTTTTGCAGCTGGTGCCGCCTCCGAAAAGGGCCGCTCCTCTCGGAAGGCGCTGGCCACCGGACCGCCGGCCCCCTCGGGGCTGCCGCAGCCCTCCAGCGGGGCAGGGCCTGGGAGCCAGCCAGGCAGTGTGACGGCGACAGGGCCGTGGGCCCACCCCCCTCCCAGCCCGCAGCCTGCTGCAGCCCCCCGCCATTCACGCCGTGCAGCCTGAGCGGCCCTTCCATGGCAACGGGATCGCGGAAATGCCAGCAGTAAACAGACGCCGGGAGCCCTTGGAGACCGAGTGCCACCCGAAAGCGGCTGCGGAGGCGGGAAGCCGGGCACGGGCCGCACAGCTCCCCGACCCCGAGCCGGCCAAGCCAGGTTCGCCACCTTTCCGCAGCCTCCCGGCTGGGCCACGCTTCCCCAGCCCTGGCCCTGCCTCCCCCGCCTCCTGCTCTAATCCCCTTTAGAGGCCACTGGGGTTGGGGCGCATCACCGCGCCTCGTGGTGGGGAATCCCACCGCTTCGCAGAGCGTGGCCTGAAGGAGGACCTTCCCCCGGGGGGGGCCGCGGAAGCGCTCCCCCTGGCTTGCTTCCCTGCCCGCTTTTCCACCTGGCTGCCTGGCAGGCGAACCTTCCGCTGCGTGCGGTGGATGAACAGGGCGCCGAATCCGGCAGACCTGGGCTGCACAGCCACCTGGCGCCCGGCAACAAGAAAATGCGGTGTTTGTCAAAGTTCAAGGGACCGTGAAAAAGATCCCGGACATCCTGGAGCAGAGACACCTGACAGTTGCTCCCAACCCCCCGGCCCCCCAGGCGCTGCTTGTCAAGAAGGACTTTGGCCTCGGCCCGGGAGACCCTCGCGAGACAGGCAGCTGCTGCGGCGGGCCGTGCGCTCCAGGGAGAGGCGAGGGCAAGCCGGATAACCATCCCGGGAGTGCCGAGTCCCCGCTGCGAAAGCACCGTGCGCCGGCCGGTGCCGGGGTCAGGAGCCAAAGGGAAGGGGCCACCGCGCTGTCTTCCCCGACTGGGACCACTGCTGATGCTCGGACCCCGCGCGGGGAGACAGCGCGAGGCGTGACAAGCAGGCCACGAGCGCTGCAGGCCAGCCGGCACTCGCATCCGCGAACTCGCCCGCCCCGCTCAGCAACAGGCGCCTGCACAGCTACGAGTCGGCTGGGACGGACCCCCATCCGGCAGGGAAGCGGCAGCAGGCCAGGCGGCCCGGCCCGGGCAGCCAGCGCCATCGGAAGGAAGCTGCTGGGGTGGCGTGGCGTGTGGCCCTGCAACCACAGGGGCCGGGCCGATGGCCTTCACGGCCCCTTCCCGCTCTGCGGTGCTACGCTCTAAGCTCCCCCGATTTCTCCCCGAGTCCCGGAGCTGCAGCTGCGCAGCCTCCTGAGGCGGAGGCCCTCGGGGCAAGCGCAGGAGAGGAGCTGCTCCCCGTGAAGGCCGAGGGCCCGGCCACAAGCGGGGCAACAGGCGCCACCCGCTCCTGCTCCCAGCGGGCACCTGCTGCCTGGGAAAGGGGGAAACTGACTTTCCCGCAGTTCCAGGTGGCCCAACAGGCACCCAGACCCGAACCCCGCACAGTGCCCACCCCGAGTCCCCGCAAGCACAGCCGAGTGTCTCCAGGGCCCCAAGTGGCACAAATGCGGCCAAAGCCCCTTTGAAATAACGCATGCAAATATTCACACACATAAGGGGGGGGGAGCAAAAATTGAAAAGGGGGGCCAACCCCAGAAACTGGGGATTGTGAAAGGCGACTCAACACTCAACCCTTGCGAAACCGAAGGCGCCTTGGGATAAGTGTTTTTCTGGATAGCCCAGAAAAACACCGCTAGGAAGGGGGTCCCTGAGGCTGCAGCCGCCTCGTACCCCCATTTAGAGCAGGTGGTAGAACGAGCTGCCGAGCTGCTCTTGGCAGAGGAGGCCGTGGAGACTGGGGCGGCAGGCAGCACCTCTGCCTGCCGAGGAGAAAGCTCTCGCCGCTTCTGCATCTCACTATAAAAGCCACCGGGGGGGGGGGGGAGCACTCCCCTCAGAGCCGCGTTCCCATAGAGCTTCCGGGGAGCCTGCTGTCCCACCTGTAAGGGCAGCGCTCCGGGCTCCAGCGACATCCCCAGAAATGCCCGTGGAAAGACCAGACCAGGCCAGGCCAGGCTGGGGGGGGGGGGGGGGCAACCCCCACAGGTTCTGCCGGCTGCCCCACAGCCCCAGTTCTACAGGTCGTGCACTGGACTCCTTGTGCACAAGCTGCTTCCGGCTGGCCTTTGGCCGTGGACAGCACCCCACGGCACCAGGATGAGGCCGCGGGCAGAGCCGCCCCAAGGCTGCCGCTCCGCTCTTGGCCGTTGAACGGGGGCCCTGTCCTCACCGCCCCACGTGCAGGGAGACGCGCGGTGCCGCCCCGTTACCTGCTGGCAGTGAGAGAGCGGGGGGGCTCCGAGGGCCCTGCCTGCTCCAGCCGCGGCCACGGCCAGCGGGCGTCTCTTCACCCCTCTTATCCCCATGCCCTGCTAAGGGGCTTGGAACACAGAAGAGCGGGCCCAAAGCGCAATGCATGCACCATACACAGCCACACGGGCATCCGGCACGACCTGGGCTTTCTAGAGGGAGGCGGCAGAAGTGCAGTCCCGGGCCGGGGGCCGGGGGCCAGAAGCGCCCACGTCCGCTCAAGGCCAACGCTGCCAGACGGACGGACCCCACGCGGCAAGAGCCCAGCCCAGCCCAGCCCAGCCGCCCCCTGCCGCCCGCGCAGCTCCGGCCAACCCACACGCAAAGGGAAAGCCCCGCGGCAAGCTGGCCGCCGTACCCCCCCCCGTCCGAGCCCCCCCTTGCACGCCGAGGACCGTGGCTCGCTGCTCCGCTCCTGCACCTTGGGCCCGACTCGGGGGCGCCGGCCGGGCCTTCCGGAGGAGCCGCTGCAGCCTCTGCGCCCGCCCCCGCAGTACGAGCCCCGGGCAGGCCCATTCCCCGCCTCGGCCCCCGCAAGGCCGGCACTCACGCAGAGGAGGCCCAAACAGCACGGTGTCCAGCGCCTTCAGCTGCAGCTTCTGCCGGTGGCTCCGGTCGGTCATCTTCAGCACCGCTCCCGTCATGGTGGCGTTCGTTATGGCCAGCCTGCGAGGGGGGAGGCGGCAGGAGGGTCACGGCACGACTCGGCCGGGGGGGAGGCGCTCCGCACGGACACGTGGCCCGGCCTGGCGGCTCCCCGAGGCAGCAGCTGCCAGCACTCGGGGAGCCGACCTCCACGTGGCTCCCTCGGCATTCGGGGCCCCTGGGGCCACGGCTAACCGGCCAGGGCTGGGTGGAGACCAGGACTCGGCGCTCCGGGGCCCCAGCCCAGCACCCCGGCCGGAGCCACGCAGCGCCCTGAAGGGCGACTCGTGAGGCAGCACGGCTCTGCCAAAGGCAGAACCGGGGTTCTGGCGAGCAGGACCCACTGCACCCCCAAACCAGCAAGCGCCAGGAACGGGGAAAGGCAGTGAGCGGGGCACAGGGCTGGCCAGCGGGCCACTCCACCGGCGCTCTGGCGGCTCAGGGACCCTCCCAGCGGGGCCACACTGCCAGTCGCAGGGCCGTCCCGGGCCCAGGCCCACCGGAACAGAAAACCGGCACGGGGAGCTGCCAAGAGGCAAGGGGGCACGGCGAGGCTGCCGCAGCAGGGCGTCCGCGTCGAGCCCCCTCACCTGGCGCAGGCGGCACCGCGGAGCCTGCGTTGTGGTGAAGGGGCGAGAGGCGCCGACCCTCGTTCAGGAAGACTGTGAGGGCGACCCCCCCCGCGTGCAGAGACACCCTCCGCCGGGCCCTGCGCCCCACGGACCTGGGCATGGCGTGCCCCGTCAGCTGCAGCTTGCGGAAGGTGTCCTCGTACTGGGGCAGTTCCACGTAGTTGATCAGCCACTGCACCACCTCGTCCACGGTCCAGTTGTACACTGCAGGAGGGGGAGCAGAAGGCCGCGTCAGTGGCCACGCTGGCCAGACTGGGCAGAGGCCCTGCAGGGCTCCGTGCCCCCCACCGCCCGGCCCTGGCCGCTGCCGTCCTCCCGCCCCCGCGGACCTCGCGGAGACTCTTCCCCAGCCGAGCCCTGCCGGGAGGCGCCTCCAGCGCCACGGAAAAGGCACGCCGCCCCGTCCTCTGCTGGCCCTCAGCCCCGCGCATGCAGTAAGGCTGCACCACGCACCCAGGTGCGCGCAGGGGGTGCGACAGGCAGACGAAGCGTCCCGGGAGCCGCAAGGTGCGCCTGATCGAAGCCGACCGGGACCTGATGGGCTGCAGGCGGCCGGAGCAGCGGCAGGAGCGGCCCTCGCGGCGGCGGGGGGGGGGGTCAGCGCCCGCCCTCCCAGGAAGGTGTGCTGGGAAAAAGCCAGGCAGGGGCATGGGGCGGTCGTGGGGGACACCTGGCACGGTCCGGCCCATCTGCCGAGCTGCGCTGCCCCCCTCTCCCCCTTTTGGTCTACCCTGGAAGCCAGGAGGAAGAGGAGGAGGAAGAGAGCTGGGGCGGGTGGGTGGCAGCTGGGCAGGAAGAGTGCGGAGACTGGGGGTGCTGGGGAGGGGAAGCCGTTTTCTGGGGCGCTGTGGGGCCATGAGGACTGGTGCTTCAGCCACAGCTGGCCTGTAAAAGCACCTTCTGCCCCCGCCCACCGTTTCCCACTGACGGCTTGTCTGAATGCTTTCTTCTGCTTTTCTGTCACCACTCTGGGATCCATTTCAGTATGGAGTTGGACACACTTCGTATATCCCTCCATCCATCTGAGGGAGAGAGACCCAAGGCCGGGCAAGGCAGAGGACAGACCCACGCCAGCCCTCTGGCCAGCCAGCTGCCGAAGGGGGATGCCCCCACCCATGTTCCCCAGCAGTCCCTGACGCTGGAGATCGGCAGAAGGCCTTGGGGCGAATGGCCAACGGCAGCAGGAAAGGGGCTCGTGCCCTTTCAAAGCCGCCCCGATCGTCAGCCGCAGCCCGTGGCAGTGAGTTCGGTGGCCCAGGCGTGTGCTCCGTGAGGCTTCCCTGGGGCAGCCCTGACTCTCCCACCACGCGGCCCCCCGGGGGAGCCCCCGGGTCTGGCGGAAGAGGGAGAAAAGGGGTCCCTCGGCCCACTTTGCCTCTCCCTTCGTTTGCCTTTCTTCCAAGCTAAGCATCCCAGGTGCGAACTGCTGGGAAAGCTGCTGCTATTGGGCAGTACTGAAAGTCATCCATCAATCGATCGATCGATCATCATCATCATCAACAGCTGTACCAGCCCTGCCAGTTTCGGCCGCCCCGGCCTGCTCTTCTCCCTTCTCCTGGGTGTGGCGACTGGAGCTGGGCTGGAACCACATCGCATCCCGGCACAGAGGTGCGCAGGAGCGCACGCTGTCGGGCGCGTTGTTTTCCGACTGCGGTGAGTGAGTCATGCGCGTGCCGGGCGCAGCCGGCTGCCTGGCTGCGAGGGCTGCTCAGCACCAGGGCACTGTGCCCAAGGGAGGTGCTGGCACCCCCGTCTTTGCAGGGTCCCGAGGAATGCCTGCGCCCGGGGTCCAGAGAGCTCCTCCTCTGGCCGGGGGGCGGGGGCAAGGTGAGCCACAGGAGCCTTCCAGCCCCCGCCGGCTTGGGTCTGTTTCCGGGAGCAGCTGCGACCTCTCCTCCTCCAACGTCAAACCCGGCGGACGCAATTTCATCCCTCAAAGCAAACTCAAGCGGCCCAAAGATCAGGCAGATCTGGCAGATACAGGAGCGACCCCCAGTTGCTGACGATCCGGAGGGGGAAAGGGTAGCGCCGCTGGACGCTGCCCTTGCCCGGGGGCCGAGGACCAGCCTCGGCCTCACTCTCACCGGGCAGGCAAAGGCCGTCTCCCCCGCCCCGCGGACCTGGCATGACCTCCGGCCCGGGGAAACCGCCTGTGCCCAAAGCAGCCTCCAGGCAAGCGGGAGGGAGCTGAGCTGTGCTTCAAGGCAGGGTTCCAGCCCCCACGCCCCCCGGCTGGCTCCGGCGGCATTCCCCGTTGCTTCCCTGCAACCCGCAACCTCCCCGGTCCACGTGACGGAACGCCTGGAAGCGAGCCCAGAGCAGCAGGCCCTGCCCGAGAGGCCGAGCCCTCAGAACCGGAGGAAAGAGGCGTCCAGGCGACCCAAGGGACCCTCAGGCACACAGAGCACAGCTGGCGCTTTGGGGGCAGCGGCTCCAGTCGCTGGCAGAGGAGCCAGCACAAGATGGAGCCGCGCTCTGGAAGCCGTGTTCGTGGCCAAAAGCCACCGCCAGCAAAAACCGGTTAAGCACGACCAGAAGCAACTCCTGCGGGAGGCTAATTGGAAAGTCTGCAGTCTAGAAATTCCCTCGGAGCAGCTCTGGAAGCCCACAGACATCCTGGCCTCACTCTGGCCCTGTGGGGCTCCCCAGAGGGCCCCGGCCGCTGCCCTGGGTCCCCCCCACTTTCCTCAGCCGCAGGCAGCTCGCCGCTTCCTGGCTTTGGGCGGCTGCTCCCCCCCACACGGGCTGAAGCGCGTCTCCTCTGGCCTCCTCGCTGGCAGCAGGGGCGGGCCGGCACATGCCGCCGGAGGCGCACAGGTGACCCTCGGGTCCCTTGCCCCCCCCCAGAACTTCCGAGGCGCTTGGCCTGCGGCTCCGGAATTCCCGTCCAGCTGGGCCACTGATCGGGGATTCTGGGTGCTACGGTCCAACCGTGTCTGGGAGGCTGGGGCAGGCTGCTCAACAGCACCCCCGAAACAGAGCGGGGCCCTCCAGCCCAAGGAGGCGCCCCCACTTCTGCTTCAGAGCCTGAGTCCCACTGCCGTGGGAAACACGAGCGCCAGGAGGGGCGGCCCCGAAGGGCCCGGCCCCGGCGGATGAGACGCGAGCGGTGGCTGCTTCCACAGACACGTCTGGATCCGCACTCCTGTGGCGATCAAGTGCCAGAACCCGTCCCATCCGCGCTTCGTCGTGCTGCGTATCTGAGCAACCCACACGCTTCGGGCATGACCTCACTGAGGCCTAGCTGCTGCAGAGGCAGCAGTGCACTGGCCTCCTCTTCCTGCAGGATTGCAGAAAGGAAAAGCCCCCCACCCCGGCGACTGCCCCGAGCCCTCCCCCGGGGCAGAGACGGGGCCGGGTGCACAGCACTTTTAGCCTGCCCCATCTCACGCCCGCGGGATCCGTCGCCCCCCATTTCCTCTGCCTGCCCCACCTCCGCACCTGCGCCCCTCCCTCCCCTTTCCCAAGGCCATCCCAGTGGGACCCGCTGAGGGGTCCCAGCCCTCGGCTTCGCCTCCCGCTGTCCGGGGCACCTTTGCAAAGGAAGGCGAAACACACGGGCTTGTCCAGAAGAGCTCAGAGGGCTGCTCAGAGCGGGATGGCGACCGAGTGGCCAGAGGCAGGAGGGAGCACCCAGGGCCCTTCTGCCAGAGCAGGACTGTGCCGTGACCCGGGGGGGGGGTCCCAGGGGGGGTCCCACTTTTGTCACATGAACTTGCAGAACCCCCGAAATCACACGCAACCCCACTTATTCCAGGGCCCTCTTATATGGGTCGGGCATTGGAGCTTTTACTGTTTCCCCCTGGATTGCTGGAGGGACAGGGTGATTTTTTCAAAACATTGGTTTCACATTTGTCTTTCCCCTGGTTATATACTGTCATCAACGCACGCAGGCATTCTTGTCAGAAAATGAGGGTGGGGCGAGGCAGAGGCAGAGGGCGGGCGTTTCAGGCCGGAGCGTCCCCGCTTGGGACGCGGCGACTGCCAGCCTGGCCTGCACCAGCCACCCCGGGAACACCGGCTGGAACGGCTCCAGGAAAGCACGGATGCCTCGCACTGCGGCTCAGTCCCGCCAGAGCCTTCCTGGATCCTGCACCGCACGAATGCGCCGGTTCTCTCCCCAGCAACGGCTCCGGTCCGGGGTCTGACCCGTGGGCAGCGCCAGGCCGGCAGAGGGCCGGTCAGCTGACCCTTTCCAGAGCACAGGCCTGGGCGGCTCCGGTGAAGCCTTCCTTCGGCAAGGCGCCCGTTCGAACCACCAGCCGCCCAGAGGGGCTGACGGGGCGGTGGAGGCACACAAGCCGGGCACGCCGCGGAGCAGCGGCCGAGTGCCGCAGCTTCGTCAGGAGTCGCTGCACGCCCGTGCCAGTCAGCCCCGGGCCAGAAGGGCCTGCTCGCTGCTCGCACGGCAGCGGCCTGTCCATGCCAGCCCCAGCCGGGGCGGCGGCAGTGCCGGGGAGCAGGGACTCTCGGGGCCTGGCCTGGCCTGGCCAGGCCGATCGACGCAGGGAAGGCGGCAGCCCCTTCGCAGGAGGGAGAAGAACGGCGACCGGGATGTTGCAATTAAAAGGGGACAGACCCCAAAAGGACCAAGGGCGGCCCTTGCCCTCCCGGGGCGTCGGGAAGCTGAAGCACCGAGGAGGCCTGCTCCCGCCCCGGCCTTCCGGGAGGCTCGGGCCAGCGATGGTGCCGAAGGACCCCCAGCCCCGGTGCGGGCCCTTGCTTTTCCCAGGATGACGCTTCTCGCACTGTGCTGTGGGCCAGGCTCCCACTCCGGGCCCGGCCTCTAGAGCGCAGCCCTTCTGCAGCTGACCAGCCTCCGCTTCCCCCGCGGGGCACCCGGACCACGCAGGCGCCACGCCGGGCTTACCTTCAGACGCCTTCCAAGCCTTCCACAGGTCCTCGACGCTGATGAGCTTGTCCTCGCCGTGGAAAGTGCTGTGCTTGGCGGCCGGGTCGTGGTAGTTCAAGTCTTCCCGCAGGAACTGGGAAAACACGGCACAGAGTCAGCCACCAGGAGCCGCCGTGCGCCCGACGGCACGCGGAAAGGCGCTGGATCCGGAAAGGGCCGCCCGAGCCAAGGGACGCCTGGCCGGTTCCCGGGGCTGTCGGACGGGGCATCCGCAACAGCGGGACACGACCCCTTGGCATCAGTCCGTGGGCCCCCCGCGCACCTCCTTCTGCTTCGTGCCTGGCCAGCGCAAAGGGGCCCGTCACTCCGGGGCCGCTCGCCCTCGCAGGGGCCTCGGCCAGAGGAGGCTCTGCCCAGCGGAGCGCTTCTTCCCGCGGGCCATTCCTGAGGGCACCGCAGGGAAGGGGGGCCGGCCGTGGCGGCTGGGCTGCCCGGCCACGGCTGCCACCCGTGGGCAGGCACGAGCCCCCCTCGAGGCACAGCGGACACACACGACGGAGCGACTGCCCTCCGCCAGGCCCTGAGCTGCGAGGGGAAAGGCAGCCCTGCTCGCAAGCGCTGCCTCTCCTCATCCAGCCCTCTCCCCTGCGCCCCCCACGACGTTGTCTGAAATGTACGGCTGGGAGGGGGACCGCTTTTCTGCCACGAAGATCTCCGAGTTGGGGCGGCTGACCCAGAACATCCATGGGGAGGCACCAGTGCCCCCACCAGATCTGGTCAGCAGGCAGGAAGGGCAAGAGGGCCGGAGAAAAGCGAAGAGAAGAGGCCCAGGAGAGGAGACCTGGCCATCCTGTGTGAACTGCTAATCCAGCCTTGCTTCTGGCCTGCTAAGAATAAACCGCACCATCGCCTTGGAGAGCTGCAGCCGAAGCAGGTGGAACGGGTCGCATCTCTCGCTTCCTTCCCGCATCTTAACACCTGCCAATTAATGGCGATCCCGACACACGCGGCTGTGGGGTTCCAAGGAGGGGCCCGAGGGCCCGGCGGCCCACGCGCGGCGACCTCCCCCAGCCCCGGGGAGCGCCCGAGCTGGCTGTGGGGGAACGGAGGTGGCAGCCCACTGCGCTCGCCCTTCCCTGCCGAGGGAGGCCCAGAGGCCGGCCCACGGGCAGCCGCATCCCTGCCCCCGGGCTCTGGCCGGCTCCCAGGAAGTTCACATGAGGGGGGGGTTCCTGCGGGGGGACGGAGCCGCGCGCAGGGCTGGCCGCCTCCTCGGCACTGGGCTGCAGGCCGCAGGGGGGGCTTGCAAGCTCGGAGCCCCACGACGCCCAGGCCCGGATGACACAGAGCCGCGGCCAAGCGAGGTGCTGAGCGCGCCCCAGCCAGCGGGCTGCTGCTCCGGCCAAGGCGCCTCTGCCACCGGGCCACACATGCTCGGGCGCCACGCAGGCCGCCGCCCTGGGCCTCCACCGCGCTCCGGCTGGGGCGGGAGGACACGCGGCGTAGCGCCTGGGTCTGCCACACGCAGCAGAAAGACCGGCCGGTGACGGGTGGGGACGAGAGCGGCTCGGTGCCCGGAACCATCTCCCCCTTCCCCTGCTGTGCGTGTGTGTGTGTGGGGGGGGCTTCCCAGGCCCGTCCCCTCCGGCCACCTGCCCCACAGGCCTCCTGGTTTCCAAGCAGCGCTGTGTGTGACTCTTGTCAGTCTCCCACACGCCCCAGCTGGAGCTGGAGGGACAGTGCCGGCTGTCGGCCGATGCCAGCCTGCCCCCCCCACGCCCCCAGTGCCTGGCCTCTTGCAGAGTCCCCGGGATGGGCGGCAGGGACGGGGGAGAGCGACGCCACCCCCCACGCTTCGCCCCCGACCTGGCATGCAGGAGAAAAAAATGGGAGCGGCATTCCCCCATGGGGGCCAGACGGCAAGCGGGCCCACCCCGAGAACGCAGCTCTGCCACTGGCACGGGCAGGGGCTGCGCGTCTGGGGACTGCCCACTCCCGAGAGCAATGCGGCAAACCCTGGCCGCAAAGGCAGGGAGAGCACAGAGGGGGCGCCAGCTGCGCTGCGCTGCTCTGCATCCACGAGCCCCAGACAAGGGTGTGGGGCAGCATGGGGAGGGCAGAGCACCCAGCAGCCCCGACGGGGTCATCCCATGAGCAGCCGTGGCCAGGCGCCGTAGGCGGGCGGGCGAGCGAGCGAGACACAGGCACCACGGCCAGGTCCGATTACTGTGGGGACTGGAAGGCGGTTGTCGGGGTGCCTGGCCAGGAAGCGGGAGCCAACGCAGGGCCTCCCTCTATTCCAGGTGGGCCAGCAGGTGCGTCCCACCTGAGCCCTCAGCGAGCGACCACCTCACAAGAGCCCGCTTTGCTCATGCGCTTCCCAAAGGAGTGCCTGCCAGGCTAGCAAAGGGCGCACGGCTCCGTGGGCACGGCACGCTTGTTCAGGCGCCTCCACCAGCCCCGGGCAGCAGCACTAAAGCCTGAGCCCCTCACAGCTCTGGCTGTGACAGCAGAAGCAGTGGCGTGGGGGAGGGGGCACCGGGGAAGCCCACGCGCAAACCCTTCCGGCTCAGGGGTCCTCCGCAGCCGAGGGGCCAGCCCAGAAGAGCGGCTTCTCCTGGCAGGGGCCTCGGCGGCTTGGCTTGCACCTTCACAGGCCCTTTTGGGAATGGGCTAACGGAGGGGGCGGGGGTGGAAGCCGCCCCCTCCGATGCAGGGGGTGAGGTCACGATCAGGAGGGCAGGGGGCACGCAGGCAAACACCCAGCAAAGCAAGGAGAGCTGGGGGAGGCGGGCCAGGTCGGCAGGACAAGCCACACTGGGCGCTCGGCCACCCGCCACGCGGGACCCAGAGGTGCGCAGGGTTCTGTGGCCGTCCGCATGTGTGCGCGCACATGAGCACGAGCGAGGCAGGGCGCCAGCCGCGGGGACGCCAAAGGCGCTCCCGGGAGAGCCCCGCTCCCTTCCGCTTCCTCCCGCCTTTATTTGTGGCCGGCTGCTCTTCGGTGCACGAGCCGCCGCCGCGAGTGAGGCCTGCGCTTGTCTGGGACCCGAAGAGGAGCAGTGAGGGAGGAGGGCAGGCGCAGAGGAAGAGGGACGGAAGGAGGCGCCATGCCGGGAAGGGCAGGATCCGAGAGTGGCCCTCGGCATCCTTTTCCTTTCCCTAGAATGCCGCGCTGGCTGGCAGCCCGGCCACATTTTGCAGCCACAGCACCTGAAACGAGGGCCGAGGGAGCCCTGCCCGGTCACAGCTCAACACGTGAGCACGGGCCGGGGGGGAGCCCTTCGCGGGATGCTCCAGGACCGGGGCGACGGGCGGGGGCGTGCTGTGCGGCCAGGCCAAGCGGCGGGGCGGGAGGCAGAGCGCCTCCCCCCACACAGCCGTGACCTCCATGGGCAGCCAGGCAATGTCATCTGGACGGGCCGCGCACGGCGCTCCGTGCGGCCTGCTCTCCCCCAGGGATGCCGGCGGGGGAAGCAGCTGTCGCTCAGTATATTTAGCTCAGGAAGGAAAAGTGATCCTCTCTCGCTGAGCCCCGCGCAGACCGGCTCCCGAGGCCCCTCAGAAGGGGACGCTGCAGGGCCGGGCTGGAGCCCGGCGGCCGCCTCAACGAGGGCAGGGGCTCTGCGTGCCACGAGGCCCAGGGCGGAAGCCACCCAAGCCAAGCCTGCTGGCCCCCGACCCACGGGGAGAGGGCGCCACGGAGGGCGCTGGGCAGGGCGCCCCAGAGAATCCAGCCCGGCCGGGCCTGCCGGGCAACAAGGCTGCGGAAAGAGCTGGGCCAACTGTCAGAACAGTCGGGCGAGCCCTGTGTATGCGCACGCCAGGCCCCCCCCCCCCATACTAGCAGGTCGACTGCATTCACGCAATGTGCAATTCTGCGCTTTTCAGATTTTGCTTCCTGTAAGCCATGGACACGAAGCGAGCCGCCCCCAGCTCCAGTTCTCCAGCTGTGCAGGGCCATGGAGCCGCTGCAGACGAGTCCCGGGGCCAGGAAAAGCACGCCAGAAAGCGCCCCGGTGCCCGGAAAACAGGCGCCCCCTGGGGCTCCGCACTCCGTCTGAGGGGCCGAGCCGCCCCTGTCTCTTATTCCCAAAATCAGGGACGCTGCTGAATACAATGTACAGGGAGTGAAAGCACAGCTTTCGGGGAACAGGCTGAGCATCACGACACAACAGTGGCATGTTGTGATTCTCGGGTCGGTTCTCACAAAGACGGTCCTTTACATCTGAGGTTTGTTCCGATGGGATTCGGCTTGCTGAACTGCCTGATCCCGGAAGAAGCGGAGCTGGGTTCGGCCCGGCTGAAGCCTGGACAGGCGGCTGAAACACTGCGACCCGCCCCGGGAGCCTCGGCTCCGGGCTGCACAGAAACGCAATCTGGGTATAACCGCAAGTTCCGCCTTTCCACCAAGGACAGGGAGCCCAGGGCGGCTGGCGATCGCAGGGACTGAGGCACATGAACAAAAGCGCAATCAGAAGCTGCAGCAACGCAGGCGAATCCAAATAAAAAGAGCACAGGACCCTGCAGACCGGCTTGCGTGCCAAAGCCTGCTTGACCAGAAGGCTCCTGCTGCAGGCAGACGGCCCCAGATGGCGCGCCCACCGAGCCTCCCTCCCAGGAGGAACAGAGACAGAGTGAGCCAGAGGGAGCCCCTGGACCATCTAGCCTGACCCCCGGCTCCATCCCCGGGGCGCATCACCAAGAAAGCCCTCCTCCACGCCCTCCCCCACTGGAAGGGCTCCCCAGAGTTCACGCAGGCAGGGGGCCGGTCCCAGGCCGCCCTGGGGCGCGCTCTGAGCAGGGGCCGCTGCAGCAAGGGAGCCCACAGCACTCCGGGCCAGCGGATGCTCCCAACCGGCCCCCGACGGCAGTCCCACACGGAGCCCGTCTGGGCAGTCCAAGCAAGGTAGCCCGGCACGTGTGGGCAGGCCAGGCGCCTCCGGGACGGGCGAGCCGGCATGAGCCTCCGCTGCCTGCACACGCTCCTGGCCCCACCCAGCTCCGGCGCGCAGGAGCGGGCCCCGACGGCAAGCCCGAGCCTCCAAGGGGAGCGCCGCCCTCCAGCCCCACCGGGGCCTTGCTCGCCGCCTCGCATGACCTGCCGGGTGCCTTGCCTCGACGAAGCCTCCGCTTGTGCGTGGCAGGGTATGGCGCACCCAGAGCAATGCTGCAAGCCACCCCGAGGTGCAGGGTGGCTTGCAGCAGGGTGGCGTGGTGCAGGGTGCAGGGTGGCGTGGCGTGCTGCCTGCTCACCCCGACAGGCTGCTGGAATGGTGGAGGGCCGGCCAGCTGCCCACCCACCAGAGCCACGAGCCCCCCGCCCTTCCGCACACGCCGGCTGCTGCCACACTCCCTCCTCGGGGCTGGCTCTCCACGGCTCCTCGCTTCGGGATGCAGTGCGACACGAGCGTGCCAGAGCGACCTGGGGCCTCTTCCCCCGATGAGGACGGTCCTGGCTGCCCCGTCCGCGGCTTTGCTTCTGGCAGCAAAGAAACAGCGCAGCTTGCGCTTTTAAAATCAGGGTCTGAATTATGTTATTTCCCGTGCCTAATCCTGTGCCTGATTCATATTAATAAATATGATTGCTAGCATTGGATGTTTCTGAGTTGCAGTACAGTACAGTTTTGACAAACATTTCTTCAAACCCTACAAAAATGCTGGCCCAGAACAAAGGGCTTATGCCACCGACTGCCCCCTTCCGTCCGGCACCGTCACGTCCTTCTTTTCAGCACCAGGCTAAAACCTTTATATTTTCCCAATGTTTTATGGTTTTGCTGTTTTTTAATATGGGTTTTATTGTTGATTGGTTAAGAAGTTGATTGGGATGCTGCGCTTTGCTTCATTTTGTCTTATTGTTAAACTGTCCCGAGACTGCAGAAAGGGACAGTCTGAAGGAGTTTTAACGAAGTAAATAAAGCCGGCTCTGATTGCTACAGGGCCTTCCCTTCGCGGAGCGACATCTGCCCAAGTGCTGCTCTTTGCTCAGCCTGCCCAGAAGCCCACTGCCCTCGAAGAGTCTGCAGCGAGGGAGGACGCCTGCCCTTGACGTGCCCACGGCCCCCGTTCTGGTGCACCGCTCATCGAGCCCCGTCTTCCGGGGGCAGGTTTTCGGCCAGGGGCCGGGCCAAACCTTCATTCAACTTCTTTTGCTTCCATGCCGAATGTTGTGCCTGCGTGTCTAAAAATAGACGTCTCTGATGTTTTAGGCTGAGGTTTCCTCGTGTTTAGCCCGATGCCTCCTCGAAGCCCTGAAAGACTGCCGGTGTTTATGCTACCAGGGAAGCCGTGCAAGACAAAGGCACGCAGGCCGAGAAGCAAATGGCCCCGGCTTCTGGGGAGAAAACCCCGCAGGCGCCGCCCGGCAGAGTGCTGCCATCGTCCCGCGGCATCCTTAAGAGGCGGCAGGAGGGAGGATGGTGGGCAGAACGAAGGCCGGGGGCGCCTGCCTCGAGCCGGCCGCTCCGCCTGGCCCGGGATGGCCCGCTCGGTGCGGCAGTGGGTGCCGCGACTCGGCCGGCCGGGATCTCCGGCACACGAGGCCTGGCCAGGCGCCCGCGAGGGCCGAGTGCGGCAGGGACACTACGCAGGACGGGCCTGTCAGCTCTTCCTGAGTCAGCCCAGATGCACGGAGCTGCTGCAGGAGGAGGAAGTCCCCCAGGGAAGCCCTGCGCAGCGCCTTTGCTCCGGGAAGCTGGCCCAGAGCGGAGCGGAGCTGAGCACGAGCCCAGGCCCGGCTGCGAGCACGTGTGTGCGCGCACTCAAGCATGCCGCTGCACGGCGCTTCCCCTGGGAAAGTGCCCTGCGGGCCGTGCAGGACGGGCTGGGAACGCCCCAAATTCACGAGTGCCGACAGCACCGGGGAAAACGCCTCAACAGGCAGCTCCAGACAGGCCGGCGGGCAGGGTGGCGAGGCCGGGTGGCCTTGGAGGCGCGAAATGCCTGCCTGGCGAAGGTGCAGCTGACCACGCTGGCGCTTCCCGGGGCGGTGGGGGCGGGACACTTGCTATGTGCGCCCCCGAGACCGAGTTCTGAGGTGGCTGCGATTGGAAAGCAGACGCCTCACGCAGGTCTAAGCTACTCTGCTCCTTTTGCCGGGTTTTGCATTAAAACACTGGAGAAACGTTACCGAAAGGCAGGGAGAGGGTTGCTAACGGGCGGCGCAGAGAGGCCTGGAGCTCTGTGGCAGGAAGGATTCTTTGCCTGGCAACTCCTGCAAAACAGTCCTGAGAAATCCTCTAAACCAAGATCCGGTTATGTTTAAAAATACAGCCTTCCAAGCCAGCAGATGCAACCCGTGCCAGATCTGGGATTAAGGCCACCTGATTCCAGCGGACTCTCCAAGGACTGTGCTTTGCCGCTCCGGGTGGAAGCGGCAGAAACGGAGCGCCGGTGCAGGACGAGTGACGCAGACGCAGTCCCTGGGGTGTGAGTGCGCCTCTTTTGGAGAGAGGCCCCCGAGGAGCAGCCGGCTCCCTCTGGCGGGGGGGGTCATGCTGCCCCCTGCCCCGGGCTCTGTGATGATGCCACAGGGCTGGCCCCACCCTCCCCACCACGCCTCCCCCTCTGCTCTCCTCCACAAGCCTCCCTCTGTCGGATCGGCTCTCCTCTCTCTCCCGTGTCGCGACGGCTCCACTCAGACGCGCCGCTGCACCCGCACTCAGCGTGCAGTCTGCGTGGCTTGCCGGGCCCACGTGCCACAGTGCTGTGGCACAGGGCCTCCAGAAGGCGCTGCTGAGCGGCCGGGGCCCCCACCCCGCGCTGCGCTCTCCTCCCCGCAGCAACGGTCTTGCCAGCACTACCTTGCCGAGCGCGTTTTACACGCAAGCCTCTGAGCACACACAGAGAGAAATGTTCGACCCTCTCTGGCCCCTCCACCCAGAGCTTTGCCCAGGAGTCCTCCGGCGCCTGTCCCTGGGGGCACAGTGCTGCGGAAGGGGGCGAACCGTGTCCCTCCTCCGGGACCCCAACTGGGCCACCCTGCGACTGGGACGGCGGGCGACCCAGGCCACCTCCTCAAGAGGCGGGGCTCCCCCTCCAAGCCTCCCGCACGAAGTGCTGCCGCTCTCCCGTTCCCACAGGCGGGTCAAGTGTCCCCCCGAGCAGGCCCGGGCCTTGGGCTGCGGCTGGAACGGGTCCCGCATCAGGGCCGGAGCAGCGGCCCCACGGAAGAGGCTCCCCCTGCCGCACGCCTCTCGCCCACTCGGTGCCGCCAGTCCCACCACACGGCCAGCCTGGCGCGCACGCATGCATGCCTGCGGGGGGCCAGAAGGCACGCGCTCAGCCCCCGGGGACAGCCCCCCGTGGGGCCTCTCACTGCCCACAAGCCGGGCTCGGGGGGGGTGGCCGTGCCCCGGTCCTCCTGCGGGACTCGTGCCAGCTAACGAGCCGGGGACGCTCCCGGCCTCGCTGCCATGCCAAGCGCGGCCGTCCAGGGCGGCCTCCCCGCCCCGGTGCCCCGGACGCTCCGGAGCATGCCCAGCGTGCCGAGCATCGGCCACGCTGGTGAGCAGGCCAAGGGGCGTGGAAGCCCCAAACCGCTGGAGGCCCCCAGGCAGAGGGGCTGCCTGCCCCCCAGCTCCCCCTCGTGCCGCGCCACCGAGACGCCTCCGCTCCCCTCGGTGGGGGGGGGGCACACAGGAGCCCCACCTCGTCGCTCTCCTCCACGTCCACGTTGCCGTTGGCGTCGTCATCCATCTGCTTGTGGATGTTCAGGATGGCCTCGAAGCTGAGCTGCTCGTCCTCGTTGTGGCACAGGGGCTGGTCGATGCGGCAGAACTCTGTGGGGGAGAGGAGAGGTGAAGACCCAGAAGCGGCTGCGCTCCCCCACCTGCAGCACGGCGGGGAAACCGCCCCCGGCCTCGGGAAAGTGCGGGAACGCCCTGCCGGACCAGGGGACCCGTGCCCCGATCGATCCCACAGGGCTCTTCCTGCGGCCGGCGAGCGCACCTGTCGCAGGCCTCACCTGTGAGCGCGGCTCCCCCGACTCCAGGGGGCACTGCGGCGCCTCCGGCCCACGCCCACCGCGCACCACGCCAGTCCTCGCCAGTCTGACCCCGGCTCCAGCCGGCACCCCTCCCTCACCCCACCATCGGGCTCCCAAGCCCGGAACCCGCACGCTCTCGCGGCACCAGCGTCTGCCGCGTCCCCAGCACGCCCGGCCGGCTCCTGCGTGGACGGGGGGCAGACCAGGGGTCCCTGGTCGGGCCCGGCCGGGCTCCTCACGCCCTTAGGCACGATTTCCCTGGGGCAGCCTGCCGCACCCCTGCCAAAGGCGCCCTCCACCAACGTGGAGGAAGGAAGGCCCCCCCGAGCCCAGGCTGTCGAGTGCAGGCCGGGCTCTTGCCGACTCTGAGATGCTCGAGGCAAGAGGGAATGAAGAGCCGGACGCCAGCCAGACACCCAGGCACGCCCAGGGATGCTTCTGGGAGCAGCACGCAGGCTGGCAGGCAAGGAGCTCCCGCCTCCGCCTCCCTGGACTCCCCGGACACAGAGCGGGGTCTCCGCCTGGGTTCGCGCAGCCCAGCAACGCCCGGGGCAGCCGGCGCAGGGGCCTGCCGTGCGGAAGAGCCACAGGAGCCTCTGGGCGGCCTGACACCGCGGGGATGTGGGCTCGTATCTCCTGCAGGCAGGCAGGAAGCGAAAGCCGCCTCTGCCTCGAGCACTGAGACGCGGGATCAAGAGCAGGCCCGTGCAAGCCCCTGCATTCAGTCAAGGGAAAAGCCTCCCGAGGGGAGGGGGGTGAAAAGTCACGTTGCTCCCCGGCCCCCCCCCCCCCGTGGCTGCCGTGACTCAGCCCGACGCGCCGTCTGGGAAGGCACCAGCCCCTGGGTGTGAAAAGGGAGATGACGGCGCAGGAAGGAAAGGCAGGAGCGGCCGCGCGGCAGCATGGGCGCCTGGGCCCTCGGCTGCAGCCCGCCTCCACGCCCGCGAGCGGTGAAGCGCTGCTCCAGGACGGCGGCCAGGTGCTCGCCAAACCTGCGTCCCGGCACGGTGACGGGCCTGTCCCAGTCCACCGGCCCTCCAAGCCTTCTGCCGCCCCCCGCCTTCTGCCAGGGGGCAACCGCTCTGGCAGGCCCCACGCCGTCAGTGTTTGCAAGGGAAGACCGGGAGGTCGCACTGCAGCTCCCTCACCCTCACCCTCCACTCCGGCATCAGCGAGAAGCGATCCTGACCTTCCTCTCTGTGGCAGCCTTGGAGGCTCTTACAGAAGGGATACCATAGTCAAGGCGCTGGTTTTCCCAGTTGCAATGCATGGCTGTGAAAGCGGGACCATAAGGAAGGCTGAGCGCCGAAGGATTGAGGCCTTTGAATTGTGCTGCTGGTGGAGACTCCTGCAAGTCCCTTGGACCACAAAGCGATCAAACCGGTCAGTCCTAGAGGAGATCAACCCCGACTGCTCTTTAGAAGGCCAGATCCTGAAGATGAAACTCAAATACTCTGGCCACCTAATGAGAAGGAAGGACTCCCTGGAGAAGAGCCTCATGCTGGGAATGATTGAGGGCAAAAGGGGAAGGGGGCGGCAGAGGAGGAGGTGGCTGGATGGGGTCACTGAAACAGTCGGCGTGAGCTTGGGTGGACTCCGGGGGATGGTGGGGGCAGGAAGGCCTGGAGGAGTGTTGCCCACGGGGTCTCGATGGGCTGGCGCAACTTCGCCACTAACAACAACATGTCCCCCCGCAGCCTTCTCTTCTCCGGGCTGAGCATGCCCAGTTCTCCCAGTCCCTCCGCACAGGGCAGTGTTCCCAACCCCTGGGTCATGTATGTCGCCCTCCGCTGGTCCTTTCTGTCCTGTGAGGAGGAGAAACAAGCCCACCACTCAGTCATCTGCCTCACCTGCTATCGTCATGAAGGCAGGCAGGCAGGCTCCAAGATGTGCCCCCCCAGGTCCTCGGGGCCTGCTCCACCCTCCCCTCTTGCGGGGTCCGAATCCAGGCTGTTGCAGCGCAGCCTCCGCTTGAGCTCATGCGGCAACCATCGGTGGCATTGAAACTCCCGCTGCCCGTGCGTCAAACTCCCGCTCATTCTTTGCACAGCTTCTAGCATTTGTTTTCCACCAGATTTTGCCCACGGGGTCTCCTTAGCAGCTTGAGCCCGACCACAGCACTGACCCGTCCCCCACACTCCCCCAGCTTGGTCCTGGTAGAGTGGCCCGTGGCCTGCTCTCTCCCTGGGACGGCTGGCTGCCTCTGGCACAAACCGGGGAGGCCTCCGCAGGCCACCCGGGACTCCCAGCTGCTGCGGCCACTGCAGGCGGGCGCCCGGCCCGTTGCAGAGCCAGCCGGTAGCGGTGCCGAGAGCAGCAAAGGCCGCTGCCCAGCTCCCTGGCAGGCCCCCACCGCCCCGCGCAGGGCTGCCGGAGGCGGCTGTGCTCTCCTGGAGAGCCCCTTCCGCCGCCCCTCCCAGCGGCCGGCGTGCACCTCAGAAAGCAGGGAAGGCTCTTCCCAGCGGCCGCATGTCGTTTGGAGCCTCCCGAAGGAAGGCTCACCTCGCCCTCTTGCTGCACACGGGCTTCCGTGGAAGAAATTAAACCAGCGTTCGGCCCACGGAGCGATCGCTCGCTGCTCGCTACCCTCTGTTTCCCCCTAACTCGACCGAGTTTTAGCTCAGGATTTTTACGCGCGCTTACTTGGTCCTTAAACCATCGTGTTCTCTTAATTCCCTGTTAGAGGCTTTGTTGGTTCGCCTGCCTTGCCCATTTTTATGGAAAGGTGCGACATACTGTCAGAGACATACTGTCAGAGGCGCATGAAGGAAGGGAGTGTCGGCGGCAGTGACTAACACCCAGAGCCCTCCCTGGCCGAGAACGGGGCCGGCCCGCCTGCTGGGGCAAGCCCTGCCGGCCACTTCCTCCCGTGCGGCAGGAGCCCATGACAGGGAGCAGCAGCAGCAGCAGCTCGACATGCGTCGGCAACGACAGGGCTCCTCCCACACGCCACATCACCCCCCGACCCCCTCCCTGCACGCGCTCTCGTTTCCTGCGCTCTCCCACCGCTTCGCGCCCCGTTTGCTCCCCACCAAGGAGTGCTGCGCTTCCATGCGCTCCCCCCCCCCCCCGTGCCCTCACTAGCCGTCAGGTCAGCGTGCACAAGCCCAGCCCGCAGCCCCCCCCCCCCGCGGCAGAGCAGTCTTCACCTGGCTGCACTGGGGGCGGCGGCAGCACCGCCCTGGGAAGAGGGCGCCTCGTGCCCAAACCAGACGCGGGGGCTCCCCAGGGTCCTCGAATCCTGATGCACATGAAGCTGGAGAAGAGCCCAGACCTTAAACTGCTGCTTCCGCCCCCGCAAGGCCCGGCAGGACCGGAGGCAATGGCAGCCCCGGGGCAGGCACGAGTCAGGGCACACAGGAGGCAGAAGCCAGGGCGGGAGCGCAGAACAGCCACCGCAAGGCTGGGCGCCACGGGGGGCACAGCCAGGCAGGGCCAAGCCTCCCACTGCTCCCAGTTGGCCTGCATCACTGCCTTGGTCCCAATCCTGCAAGGGCTGGCAAATCTGATGCCGATCCTGCAAGGACTTGCCAGTGGGCCACGCTGCCTTCTCTTGCAGACCACAGCTCTCCACACACTGAAGGGGATTCTGGTGTAACGCTGCACTTAGGCGCTGCTCTCCTTGTTCACTGAAGGCGGCCTCCTTTGGAAAAGGGAAGCACAAAGCTTGCACAAGGGAGACGCCAACAGAGGAGAGAAGCAAAAAGCACTCTGTGGGGCAGCAAGACCAGCAGTAAAGAATTCTTTGTGTGTGAGAGGCTAAAAGCTGACTAGGAAGATGGATGATAAGGGAGTGAAAGAAACATAGGAGGAGGAGGAGACGGAGGAGCAGGAGGACACTGACCGAAAGTGGAATTCTCAGTCTTACTGACAGGCTGCGAGGGCGGTCGCTGGGCCCGCGCAAGAGTTCTTGCTGGGCTTCCACTGGAAACATGGAGGGCGCCCCCGGGATCAGTCCGCTTGCCTTGCGGGAACTGGGAGAGGATGCGCCCGGGAAAGGCGCCCGTGGCAGAGCCGGGCCTCGCGCCCAGTTTGTGCCACTCTTGCGAGCTCTCCAGGCCAAGAAAACCGGTTTGTGCGCCCCGCCTCCGACTGGAGCTGGGCCTCTGTGTCTTGGAAACTTCCTCCCTCGGTTTCTGCCCTCCCATTTCCCTGCTTTATCAGTTGATGCAACATGATTCTGTTTTGCTTTAACTGGTTCCGTACCCTGCTCAGGGATTATTTTATAAAGAAAAGAGGTAACAAATTGCATCAACGTGTTCTATAAATAAATAGTTACCAACTGGCCAATGTTTATCTGCACTTATAGGGGAAAAGGAGAGCGAGCAACGGCCCCGCGATGGCCATGGCGATGACGATGATGGGGGGGGCAGCCGGCTCTCCGGGCAGCCCCTCCCCCGGAGCAGGGTCAGCTGGACGGCAGGAGCTCGGCCAGTGGCCAGAGCTGTCTCCTCAGAGGAAGGATGCAGCGGCGGGACGTGGAAAAGTGCAAAGCGAGTGAGCAGCACCTTTTAAGGGATAAAAGTTACGGAAATGGCCCTGCGTGGAGCCCGTCCCACTCCCCGGCCCGCTGGGCAGCCTGGGGTCTCTCCTGCCCGGGGGTGCCGGGGCGAGCGGAGACCCCCTGCGGGAAGGCAAGTCCAGCCCCCAGGCTGGACCCGCTCCTAAGTTCCAAGGAAAGAACTGCGCCTCCAAAGTACCCAGCACGTGATGGGTCGGCGCTGCGCTGACGGGGGCTCCAGCGGCACGGCACTGCCGGCATTGCCGTCTTCCGCGAGGAAGCGGAGCGGGGGGAGCGGGGCCAGCTGCGCCCGGCCTCCTGCTCGCAGCCACGCTGGAACGCCGTCAGGAGCTCTCGCCGCCTTATCAGCGCGCGGCACTCCGCTCGGGCTCGCTCACGCTGCCGCCCACTTCCTTGCAACCCCCTGCGCTCTCGGCTCTCCTCTCCGGGGACAAGGCTGAGAACAAATGAGGTGGGGAGGTGGCCCGCGCGCCGTTCTAAAAGCAGAGCCATCGTTCCTGACATGCCTGGGTCATTTCCTTCCCCCCAGCGTCCGACTTGCACAACCAGGGAAAACAAGCACGCCGGGGTCTCCCTCTGCGGGAAAGCGCTCCGGCCCGTGGGACTGTTCGGACACTGCGGCGTGGGAGCGGAACGTGGCACAGCAAGCAGCCCAGCAGGGTCGCCCAAGCAACGGCACGTCTTGCTTCCCCGCCGGCCGTTCCAAGGGCTCCGTTCCACGAGCCTTTAGGACTTTCCTTTAGGCATTTCCCTGAGCCTTTAGCAGAACGGGAAACACCAGCCGCGGGCGTGCGCCCCACTTGCACTCCGCAGCCCAGCGGAGCCCCGCTGAGCCGCCCAAAGTACCAGGCCCACCAAAGAGCCAAAGCCACTGCACCAAACAAGCAAGCAAACAACCCGGTTTGCTTTCAGGGTCATCCATTCGGAACAGTACCCAGCAGCAATCAGTGGACTCAAAGGTGCCCTGAAGGGTAAGACGTTGGGATGCGTGGGGTTTCCCAGGCAAGGCTGCTGAGGTGGAGGACACCTTTCCCGGACCCTCTTCCCCAGCCCGGGGGGTGTCTCGGGCTGGCAGAGCCACGGCACCGCAGGCCCGGGGGAGAGGCGCCCCGGCCTCCCAGGCGCTCGGCTGCTCTGCACAGCCACAGCACCCCCGCCTCCCGCAGGCCCCTCTTCCTGCTTCCTTCTGACCGACCGAGATAACCTTCCCTGGCGATGGCGTGCCAGCTCCTCCTCCTGCCGTCCCACTGCAACACAAGCCCAGGAAGACGGGGCCCAGTCGCAGAGCCTGGCATGGGGCCTGCAGGCGGCTGTGCCAAGCCGCCTGGGGATCCGATTTCATTCTGAACGTATTTTCAGGCCGGGCCGAGCCGGGCCGGAGGGGCTCCTCCGCAGCAGCGAGGCGCAGGGCCCACGCGAGGCCGGGCGAGCGCAAGGTGGCATCCACGGCACCGGCTCCGTGGCAAGGCGATGCCCCTGCCGCCACTGCTGCGGCCAACAAGGACGGGCCGCGCTCAGCCACCCACGTGCCCCACACGGACGGACGGGGAGACGCATCTCCTCTCCTGGGGCTGCACGTGGCAGGAGGAGGCCAGCAGTGAGGACGAGCAGCACAGGGGGCCTGGCCCCCCCACCGCTCCTCCCCCGGGGAACCCGCACCGCACCGCCCACGTAACAAGCGCCACGTGGACTCCGGGCTCGAAGGCCACGGGGCCCCTTCTCTCCCCTCCCAGAGCTTTGCCGGCAATGACAAAGCTCCTCCTTTTATTCAGGTGAGCTGGGTACACACTGCCCTTCCTAAAATGTATTACAGGATGCCTAAATCAAATGAAGGTTAAAACAAACAGGAAACCGAAAAAAACTCTTCGGATCATCAACACAATGCACAATTCAAACAATGAAGCAGAAATTTCAATTTCAGGGTTTAAAATATAGCAGCGCCCCAATACTGTTTCAGTGCATACCACTGAAACGCCAGTTCCACACTGCAGGACCAAGTCCCAAGCCGACGCCTGAAAGGAAGCCAGTGCGCTGCCGGGGAGCTTTCTGGGGCGCAGGCGCCACAAACAGACCGCCAGGGATGAGAGCCCCCCCTCCGTAGGACCCCCCCCCCGGCCTTGGCCTGCCCAGCCTTTCCCCCACATGCCGACACGGCAGGGTCCTGGCCGGGAGCGGAGCTCTGGCTGGGCACAGTGGCCAAGCCAAAGCCGAATTCAGGCTTGCGGGGGGGGGCGTGCTGGCAGGAGGCGCGCGTGGCCAAAGCGAGTCGTGCGGGGGGGGCGGGGGGGAGGGGGGGGGGGGGGGGGGGGGGCGCCGCCCTTTTGCCGGGGGGGGGGGGGGGGGGGGGGGGGGGGGGGGGGGGGGCGCAGGCCAGCCTCTCGGCCTGCAACGAGCCAACGGCTCCGGCTGCCACGATCGGATGAGGAGGACAGCCGGAGGGGGCCAAGCCGGGCATCCCTGCCAGCGAGCCACCTGGGGAAAGGCCCCGAAGCCAGCTTCCAGCTCGGCCCCTGCGCCTGGGCCTGAGGGCGGCAGCGCAGCCCCACTCTGAGGGCAGGGGGAGGCGAGGCCCACACGCCGCAGCCAGCCCCGCAGCACCGCCTTCTCCCTCAGCACGGTGGGGGGGCAGTCGAGGCCCCGGCCCCGCATGGAGCTGCCCGTCCCTGCCAGGGGACCTGAAAGGTCCCGCAGGCAGCTGGGGGGGGAACTCATCCCAGCTGGGAGATCACCTGCGCCCCCTGCAGGGCCTGCCCCCCGCACCCCCCCCCCGGAGGGGAGCCAAGCGCCGGGCAGGAGAAGGACCCCATGCCGTGGCTGCAGCAGGATGCCTGGACAAGCGGGGCTCCGAGTCCCTGCAGAGCTGAAAGGTGCAGAAGGGAGGCAGCTGCCCCCCCCCCCACGTATCCCGCTGCAATGCTCGGACTCGGCTCAGAAGGGGCGAGTGGGGAACGCGGGCCGCCAGGGCCCATACGGGGCCGGCCCGTGCCGCCGAGGGCATGAGGTGCAGGACAGAGCCAAGGAAGACGTCCCCCTGCTCGCAGCGCAGCGTGAAACGGGGGGTGGGCTCCGCACGCCCGAGGCAATGAGGGCCCAACCCGGACGGGCTGCTCCGCTGGCCTGGCCGGCCATCGGAAGGAGAAGCGGGGCTCCCCAGCAGAGGGACTCCCACTGCAAGCCCCTGGATGGAAAGCAGGTTGGGGGGGAGCTGCCACGGAAGGGGAGGAGGGAGGCGGGCGCAGGAGAGGCGGAAGGGGAGCGGTGCCGCGGCAGCACGCGGAGGCCTGGCCCGCCGCGGAGGAGCCGTCTGTGCCGTGGCGCAGGGACTGCACAGCCCCCCGGGGGCAACGGGGCCCTCCGGCATCGCGGGGGGATTCCCCCAGGCAGGTGCGCGACAAACCCCCCGGTGCCAGGCGGGTCTGCGCCACAGGCCTGCGGCACGGGCCCCAGGCAGGGCGTGGGGAGGGAGCCAGAGCGGAAGCGGCGGCCAGAGCGGCTCCCAAACCGAGTCCGGCTCGCCCTGCCCGCTCCCGCCCCAGAGGCGTGGGCAACAGGCTGGCCTCGGGGGGCACGGAGGAGAATCTGCCCACGCCTCGCCTCGTGCCCCTCGGCTTCGGTCGTGGCAATCGGGCTGCACGCCCCAAGCAGCCGAGCCAGAACACCGTCGGGCAGCAGCTCCCGCCGCCGCATGGCTGCCCACGGCTCCCCAGGAGGGTCTGGGGCACGGCACGTCCACGCATGCCTGTGCTCCGACAAGCCCGCGATGACTCGGCCGGACCCTCGGCCCGGCAATTCACATCGCACCCTCCGAGCAGAAAACCAGGCGCCGCCAGGACCGTGAGCCCGCTGGCCGGCAACGGGCGCGCTGGAACACACCGCGGACGTGAACACCGCCTGGCACGGCGGCTTCATTCCCGGCAGGCCGGGCCGTGGGAGGGGAGGGGAGCCTCGCTGCGGCCCGGCCCGGCCCGGCCCGAGGTTTGTCTATGCATTCCTGGGATTGCTCCAGATGTTTTTGCTGGTTTCCAGAACATTCTGCTCGCTGCAAACGAGCCAGAAAAAATGACAGTGGATCAGCAGCCAACCACCAGACTTCAGCACTGACATGAATGAAGGCAGTCCTCCAGATAAGCCGGTGCCAAACCCCTTAGAGCTTGAAAGGACTACAACCGGCCACTTACATCTGACCGAGAAACAAGCCAGCGGCCGACAGAGCTGGGCAGAGCAGCTGCATCACCCTCGCGACACCCAGCTCTGCTCTTGCGGCTGCATTCTGCATTTCTGCACGGCCTCCAAGGGCAGCCCCAGGCGGCAGCGCTGCAAGCAGCTGGCTGGGGGGACCAAGGCGCGTGTGGCGCAGGGAAGGCCTGCTTCTGGCACAGGTGCCTGCAGCGTGCATGGAGGAGCGGGAGGGGAACAGCCCCGGCTCTGGAGCCCGGAGCACCCGCTCATTCTTCCAGGAGCAGGACCTACCCAGGACCAGT